GAGAAAAGGATTTTACTTGATTTTTACTGGTTTACTGTTTTAAAATTATTTTTCTGCTTCATTATAGTATGCCTTGTGCTTTACGTGTTTTCGTACTTTTAGTCGTCATTTATATTTATTACTCACTGAGTTGGAGTACTCACTTTACTCCCTGCACCCTGTGTGCAGATTCAGGCGCATTTGGTCCCGCTCCCGTGTGCTGATTCATTCCAGCTTCAGGCGGATCTCGAGGAGTCTTTAGGTAGTTGTTGGCATTCGCAGCCTGGAGCTCCTCCCTATCTCTTTCCTTTTATATTCTTAGTTCAGTACTAAACTCTGTAGTTACATTTGGGTATTCAGTATTGTTAGATGCTCGTGACTTGTGACACCCCGGTTAGGGCTGTGTTGGGTTATATTTCCGCACTTTATTGATTTTATCCGTTACTTGGTACTATTAAATCATGTTTCAGACTGCTTTATGTTGTTAAACTATTTTAAAAGGTGAATTGGGTTAATTGGCTGGCCTTGTCTTCACGAGAGGCGCCATCACGAGAGGGTTCGGGTTTAGGGTCGTGACAATTTCAAACATGATTCGATCGAACCCTATGTAGGTTGCCTACGTATCATGTCCCTCATGAATCAGATCAAGCGTAGTTCTGAAAAAGTATGAAAAAATAAACTAAGAAGCAAAAATCTTTTTGGATTTTCATTTATAGCTTTTTTTTGTTTTCAAATACAAAACTGAAATTACGATAATGAAAGACTCGACAAACACAAATAGACTATGATAGTCTCTGACATCACCTAAAAGACGCAGTACTACTGGACAGGACTACAAAGGGAAAGACAAACATAAAAACAAACTCAGAACATAAAAAGGCTCCTTAAGCAGCTCCTGAATGCAGTGATCATGGGGTATCTGTCATGCTCGAGTCCTGGTAAATGAATTTATACCTGAATGAGAAAAAATAAGACCAAATAGATTAGTGACTTGAGACACTATGCTACGCCACAATGCCTCCTATTGGACACATGCAAGACATGATTGGGCTATTTTTGCAAAATGACCTACGTGGCCAAGAGTGGCTAGAAGTGCAAACTCAACAAAGGAGACCTCAAAGACATGAAAATACCTCACTAAGGCTTATTTGGATTCAAATTCACAACAATCATGGCCCAAAATTAATTTGCAGAAATGACTCATTTTGCAAAAATGGCTGATATGGCCAGAAGTGGCTAAAGATGCAAACTCAAAAAGGACGGACCTTAAAGTAATATGACACCTAATTGTGACCTTAATAAAGTGAATATTTTTACTTGCTAAGAGTAATAAGAGAATATACGACGGATTAGAAAATCATTAAAATTGACTTTAGTCATTAAGAAATCAACATGTGGAATCAATATTTTGGATATCATTTTGCTGATTGTATGTATTGATGAGTATTGAAGCTACAAGTCCTTGCTCAGATGATCATCTTTTGTTCTTGCTCATTTGAACATCTTTTAGTTTGCATATAGTTGTTGCCTGTGACTTTTACTTTGATAGTTCTTAGTCCCTCACTAGCAGATATTCCGTACATCCCAAAAGAAAAAGAATTACTTTGATCTTTATGGTTGGAGGTGCTTAATGTGTGTTTTATAGAGGAGGTGGATAGGAAAGCATTCTTTTAGTTTCTTTATTCTAATAACTGTAAATATAGGAATGCTTTGTACCATGGATTTTATTGAAAGGGTCCTCCAAATAACATAGTTAATTGTTTTCGCAATTGTTTTAACTTAGAGGCTAGAAGAAAAACTATTTTTTGCTAATTTTCTTGACTATGTTAGTTGGACTATGCCGTAATGCATACATAATTAGTTGTCAGCTTCACATCTAATAAGGATATTTCTTTTCTGTAAGAATATTGAGTCTTGAGTCTAGTCCAGTAAGGCATCAAGTGCTTCTGTAAAGGATCATTGGAATACCATACATTTTAGAGTTTATCAATTTGCTGTTTAAGTTAAAGAATTAGTTTTTATATTTTGCCAATCCAAGCACAAACCATATCCTATTTGAATGTCTTCTTTATGTATGAAAGTAAAATTGTGTGTAAGATCTATTCGAAATAGCCATCTTACATGTCACTTTTGTCGATCGAGAACTTTATACCTTGGATAGTATTCATAAACTTTTTTTGTTATGTAAAGGCTCATTTAAGTTTGTTGACCATCCAATAGGGCCATGAGTTCAGACTGTATTTCTCTATTATTAAGAGATCTTCCCTTCCACAGCAGATTAAGAGGTGAAACATACCCAACATGGTGCTAATGCGAATACAATGATCTGGATCTGTAAGGGCTTGTCTGTTCGCATATCTTTTTCCTTTTTCATGTTGGATAAAAGAGCCTCTAACAATATCTTTATTGTATTTGATCGTGCAGGTATGTCTTATTTTAGAAGCTACCTCACTGATAAAGTAATATGAGAGTAATATGATGGTTAATATAAGATAGTAGCATAACAGTTGAAACTTGCTGATAGGTTTATTTCTTTTTAAGTTATATGTATCTGGTCTATTTGGAATATTGCATTTATGAAGATGAATCTCACTAATAAGTTTTCTGACGTTAATACTCCGGGTGGAAATTGTCATCTTATATGTACATTCTCTACGCTTCAGGTCATATCTGTGCTCTTGGTGTTCTGTTAGGTTCTTTTACTTCTGAAATAATGACAATTTCCAGCACATGCCATAACCATCTATATATTAGAAGAGCCAGAGTTTCGACCTGGTTACTTCATGGCAATAAAAGTAAAGTTAGGGATATTTTAGTCATTTTAGTGTAAACTCTACGTGGCTTTTTTAATTGAACCCACCGCATACACTAATCCTTATTTCGCTATTCTTCTTCATAGTCAGCTTTCTTCTCTCTTGATCTTCCTCGCTGATGCCTTTGATTTTCAATGAATTTTACTGATAATACATAACTAGGTATTTTTTTGTGTGCTCAATTCAGGTTTTATTTTGCGTTAATTCCAATTCATTTAGATTTTTTTGTTTTTTTTCTGCTGTTGTATATAACTAAATTGATATTTGTTCAGTTTCAGAGTTAATTAAGGAAAAGTTTGAATGGATCTCCTTAATAAGAAGATTAACAAGGGTTGAGTGGAGTATAAATATTTTCCTCCTCGTTTTTCTTTTTATCTTCATTTCAAGTTATGGGAAGTCTAGAAATCTACTCTAAGTTTACTTGAAACAACTGTTTATCATAGCTCAAAGCCTCAAATAATTGAGACCCATATAGAATCAACAAGAGCTAACAAGCGTATTAATTACGCAATTTGTGTCATGTGTTATCTATCTGAAAGTAGAAGCACCATTTATGTCTTATAAAGGCTTAAGAGAAGAAGACAAAAACGATCCAAGTCTATCTACAAAAAGTAACAAAACTTGAGTATTTCAAGATATGGTACCTTACCAGAATCCTCCTCAATATCTCAACAATGGGTTAGGAAAGCTCGCTTTGAGAGTGCTAATAAGGTCTATCTGTCCTCAGGGTTCATAAAAAATTATTCTAAATTTATAGGAGAAATTCAAGCCCATTCTAAGAAACATTCAAGATACAAAAACATCCCTATCCAAACTCTCTGGAAGTTCAATTTCTTCTTCAAAATTCTCTCAAAATAGATCTTGTTGATATAGGTTTTGTAGGAATCTACGGGAAAAGAAGTTGGCATAATAGCACACATGAGAAAAAAGGCAAGTAGAGGCATTTTAATGTGAACTTAAATAAGTGGGAATCCGTTGTAGATTAACTTTACAAAAAATTTACTTTATCGAGTAGAATTATATGGATCAAGAAGCATAAAATATTTCAAAGGAAACGAAGAAGCTTAAAATTAAATCCAGCAAACACAGAGTACATAAAGAAGAAAATGAAAAGGAATGAACCTGTCAGATTCAGAAGAAAAAACAAAAACCTAGAAAATCATATAGTAACTTTGCAGCTTATAGGTAGAAGGAACTATAGTACCAAAGATGATTTCTGCATTGACAGATCGCCAGAGGCGGATCTAGGAATTGAAGTGTATGGGTTCCTACCACAACTTCAAGTCAATATATCATAACAGTCGAACTAAGAAACAAGTATCAATATTCAATGTATGTTTACAAAATAACAAAATACTTAAAGACAATATATAAAATATAAATATTCTCATCACAATTGTACTCGACGACTTGTCATGTTTTGAAAATGATCAATGATCATATCATTAGGTACACTTTCAAATACTTCATCCTCTATATAACAAACTAAACAATTATTCAAAAATTCATCAACGATTCTGCTTCGCAAGTCACTTTTAACGTACTTCATCGAAGAAAAAGCCCTTTCCACCGTTGCAGTAGCGACAGGCAATATCAAACTTAACTTCACAAGCAAATAAACAAGTCTCCAAGTCATGTGCAAATTTGTTTTAACCATTGTCTCTGAAAGATCTCCAAGGCTTTTCAAGTTAGAGAATTCATTGCCGCCTCTCGCACATAGTCAATATAGATGTCAAGCTCAAAACCAAGATCCTCAAGTATAGAATTAGTAAACTCATCCGGATAGTGTGTTGCAAGTTTCATAATCCTGTCTTTATCATAATTTGCAAAAGAATTATCTGGACTCAAACTAGCCATACCAAGAAGTAGATCAGTATTCACTTCACTGAAACGACTATTAAGCTCCGAAAGTTGCAAATCAATAACAGTATAGAAAACCTCTACACGTAAATGATAAGAATATGTAACACTTGATTTCTTACGCTTCGACTTTCCACGATAATAATTCATATCCATTTCGGGGATTACAATATCATGCTTGACACAAAACAAAGAGACTTCTTCTACCAAAGAATTCCATCCAGATTCTCTCATAACTTGCAATTGTCTCTTTGCAAAACCAACAAGCTTCATGGCACTTACAATATCTTGATCTTTTTTTTGCAAAGCCATATTTAAATCAAATGTAAGTGGCAATACTTTCAACACTTAATGCAATATATACAGAAACTCATATGATCTTATGTCGTCCACTAGACTTTTTGCCATTGATCTCTCATGATAATTTGAACCCTCAATTGAAAGAACTCCAAGTACATGAACAATTGATGAGAATAAACTAATAAAATTACGCACTGTCTTAAAATGAGAACCCCAGCGAGTATCACCTGCCCTTTGAAGTCCAAGTTCTTGATTTAATCCGCTGCCCGTATGAACTTCACCAAGCACTAGTAGTTCCTCCAGCTTTTCTGCTTGATCATCTCGAAGCATCTCCCTGCGCTTAAAAGAACCTCCAACAATATTTAAAACATTTGCAAGAATATCAAAAAATTGTTCTGCCTCATAATGTTTCTTTGCAACAGCCACAAGAGTCAATTGCAATTGATGAGCAAAACAATGTATGCAATGTGCCGAAGGAGTATCATTCATAATCAAAGTCTTAAGGCCATTAATTTCACCCTGCATGTTACTAGCTCCATCATAGCCCTGTCCCCGTATTTGAGATTTACTCAATGAATGTTCCAAAAGCAAAGAACAAATTGCTTCTTTCAATAACTTTGCAGATGTATCTTTAACATGAACAATGCTAAGGAATCGCTCAATAACTTTACCCTCTTTATTGACATAACGCAAAACAAGCGCCATTTGTTCTTTATGAGAGACATCCTTAGACTCATCAACCAATATCCCAAAGTAATCACCATTCAAGTCTTTAATAATTGCCTTCAATGTTTCTTTTGCACAAGATCTATACTTGGACAAATCATGATATCATTTTTTGGAGCATTTTCTAGCACGACCTTTTTTACATCTTCCTTCTTATCGGCATACCACTTTAAGAGATCTAAGAAGTTGCCTCTTCTTGTAGAAGTTTCACTCTCATCGTGACCTCAAAAAGGCATTCCTTCCTTCAAAAGATACCTTGCAACATCAATTGAGGCATTCAAGCGAACTCGATACTCAATTTTAGCTTTCTCGGATTGTTTGTCAAAAGAAGTTATAATAGACTGTGCTTGATTCAATAAATCTAACATCATCTTAAAACATCGATTATGAACACTATTCACTTCACCCACATGTGCATTAAGCCTTTCTATACCTTTATTCCAAGCCCTAAAACCATCTTTTGTAAAAGAATCACCAACTTTTTTCCCATATCCTCCAATCTCATTTTTAAACAAGTAACAACATAAGCAAAACGCTGCATCTTTTTTAATACTATATTCTAACCATCCAGAATATGATGTAATAAACCATTCAGGATTAAAATGACGCAATTTTCCACCAAAATTTGTTTTTGGAAAAACAAACTCTCGAAGCTGACAAGGCCCTCTTTCAATGTAATGTCTTCTCACTCGATCACGTAAATTAGGAGGATATTCTGAAATTTGTTTTCTTTCACCAGGATCACGTTCAAGAAGTTTCAAATCCAATATATTATCTTTGTGTGACGATTGAGAAGAATTGACATTATTATTAACCACTGAACATGAAGGGGAGCTTAGTGAAGGAGAACTAGAAGTAGAACCTGAAGAGGCCTGTGGCTTGAAGAATCTCTTGATCATCTTGACTCTAACTAAAATATCCAATAATCATAAGAAACAGATTAAATATTGCAGTAACGAATGTTAGTCAAAAGATCACTTTGCAACATATTATTTTTTCATTAATATTACAAAGCTTCCACTTTAATTAATTCTTGGAAGAAAAATATTTCAAAAAAAGAACAAACTATAGTTAATTAATGGCTTAATAATAGACAAAATCTGAATAGCTTTAGTACAAATTGTAGAGATCAAAATGTGTATTGGCTTTCATGAAAACATAGAGAAAATTAAATTAATTTGAAGGTGGAATTAATAACTTTCAGCGACTAACCTTTAAAGATCAATTTTTCTTTAATTTCTTGTACTCTTTTTATTTGCAATAAATACACCCCCTTTTTAAAATAAAATCTAGAATCCCAACTTCATATGTTAAATAAAAAATTGAAATTTATTAAATCTAGAAAAAGAAAAAATAATTATTAAAGTATATGGTCCCCAACTCCAAATCCCAATGAATATTAATACACTAGTTTTGCAAAAAATGGTCATAAATAAAAATTTAAAAGATATTATTTCACATAATATTGTATAAAAGAAAAACAATTAAAAAAGAAGGAAGAGGAGGGAGATCGAAATACCTGTTGCAATGGAGTGGCAGCCTAAATGTTAAAAGCAGATATTGAAGAAGGAATGTAAACTTTTAAAACCCTAACTTTTCTTTGAAAGTTTGAATTAGGATTTGGAAGACGGAAGGGATTTGGAAGACAGAAGTTTGAGGAACCTTTTTTAGTGGTTGTTGACTTGTGTCCTTTTTAGTTTGAGTCAAGTCTTTGTTATTATTATTTTAATTAAATAAATAGAGTAAAGGTGAAGGCTAAAAATCATTTGGGTTACGGAAAATCATTTTGGGTTCCGCACCTTACCATTGAACCAGCAAAATACTATGTAACTGGGTTCCCATATAAATATTCTTATACATTTAATGATTTCTTAATATAAATACAGGGTCTAGGTAAAAGTTACTGGGTTCCCGGGAACCCATACCTATCACTGTAGATCCGCCCCTGCAGATCGCTTAGAATTACATTTTTTCCCTTCATGTTCTGTATTGACCGCATAGCTCTAGGCCCATTTATATAAAATTATTAGCTCTTGGGCGGTGGCCGACTAGCGCAATAGCGCCAGTATGATTACTTCCACTTTTCCTCTTCACTTATCCATTCGATGGCTAATAATGGTGAGAATGAGAATGGTGTAAATAAGAAATTCAAGCCTTCGCCAAGCTTTACTCATTTTTTCGCTTCCTTTCATGATTATTCGTGAATTTTATTTTCGTATCTGATCTTGTCGTCTTAAGTTAGTATGACTTTCATTTTAATAGGTAAACACCAGCGTCTCTTTTTGTGCGCAAAAAATTTCAAAGCTCTTCAAATTTTCTTCCGCTTTGATCACCTTCGCTCTTCTCACTGTTAAAGTTCTGCTTCTTTTTGTTTAGAGCTATCCGGTGAGTTTTGTTTTTCCAGTTTCCCCCTCTTTTTACCTTTTTTTTGCACTGCCTATATTTGGTATAGTTTTCTGTTTTCTTTTAGTTTTACTTGCGATGTTTTGAAAAAATAATAAAAGAAAAGAGAATCAGTTTGAGTATTTCTAAGAATAGGGAGGAGATGGAAGGATAATCTTACTTTGCTCAAATTCATCGTTAAAGCATTTGCCGAAAAAGTCAGACCAACGGAAGTCAAATCAAAAGTCTAGGTTATTCCTCGCAAAATCAAAAAAAGTTAGAAGCGAATCTCAGGAAAAATGCAACTTCACTAAATTGAAGAAAGAAATGAGAGGAACTGATGTCATAAAATAAAGACAACAGAATACCCACGAAAACCATAAATGGAAATACAAAGAGTATAACTGAAATTTCATACATTAATTGACATATCGACCTAAACTGCTTTAAGCCGTCTAAAAGATGAGAAATTACAGCGGAAGAAATCTCATATTTTGGATAACACTTGGTACTGGTGGTATAGGAGAATCAGCAAAATCAAAGAGAGAGAGAGATGGACGGAGAAGAAGCACATAAGAGAAACAAAGAAATGGAGAATTGGAGATTGGAATGGGTCATGGATGGGGATAACTCGGATAGATGGAAAGGACACGTAAGGACTTAGGAAGAAGCACAATAATACAACTACTGGACTCGGTTGAAATTCCATAGATGCCTTTATTATGAAACGTAATGACAAATAAGCAAGCATGTCGAAACTCTTCGCTGAATAACTCATAGTAGATAATTGCTCGATAGTACTGATATTGTCAGCAGATTAATATCCTTCGCAAATAGTGGAACTTCCTGCTAAGAGAATGAATAGCACTCATTGATTGCACAGGCAAAAGTATATTTTTTATTACTATTCATATCTTTTTAATAATGTCGTATTAAAGTAGCAAAAGGCAAGGAAAAATTAAAAGAATCAAATGCTTAGACTTTAATATGAATATATGATCTAATAACAACCAAATTTTTTTATATCCAAAACAGTCAGATTTTTACATTCATATAAAGTACCAATGAATTTTGGATACTGAATAGCTTTTTGAACCTACCAACAAAATAAAAAAGGAAAAACTCAACTCGATATCAAAGAATCCTCGAAATTCCATACAATTGATAATCGAAAACTGTCATATACACGTGAATAATGAGATGATAACACTCACCAGGCTGAACACACCAAGCTCTTTCCGTCGTTGTCTGTTATATATGTAGGTAAATATCACACAATCAAGATTTTAGTAGTAACAAAAAGATTGTCTATTAGGAGGAAAAGGACAACTTTCAGCTAAAGAAACAGAAAAGTTGTAACTCGCTATGAACCCCAAAACTATTCTGAGAAGAAGTACAACAAACAAAAAGATCCTTATCAGCTTCCCACGATGGTACATGTGCGTGTATTGTAAATTTATGAGGAATCTGCCTCAAATATATACTGACCATAAATAATACTTGGTCAAAAATAGTTGGAGAAGCATTTGATATGAAAATATCATAATTCTCCATGGATATTTTCCTAATGCACATCATAATTTCCCCACAGACATTTTCCTAATGCATAAATTAAGCAACTGTTGAAGATTGAATATAAATAATCCATGACCTGAACAATTTAATCTCACCGCACAACAAATCATGTTCTATATGGAATTTTGACTAACATTAATATTAGCATCAGATTCCTACACACAACAGAAGAGGCAAAATAAGAATGAAAATAAACAAAGAAACAATGGAAGTCTTTGCTTCTTCCCCTCTCAATTTATTCCAGACTGATTCATGCAGCACAACATGAAAATATTAATTTACATCCTCAGTCATTTTGCATGATTCTTTTGACTATAAGGAGAGCTCACAATGCTCATAATGTTTTTCAAGAAGCATAAGTTTCATAAAATCACCAATTCTAATTAAGCTGGTCTTAATCTCCGTCCAAAAAAACTACCTTAATCTGATTTGTTATAGTGAGGGTTTCCTAAGAGAGCATGAAATTTCAATTCAAAGCCTTTAAAGCATAAAGCAATACTTGCAAAATCTTGTTCCCTGCATTGACAAATTTCAAAGGCTTTTCTGAGAGAAAATTCAATAGCTCAAGCTTAAGAACTACATTAATTCCCCGTAACAAACTTCAATACAATTTCTTGAGACCTTTGGATGTACAACAACCCAGAAACAATGATGACCCACTCATCTTTGCCAATGAATCCTAAAAAAAAGTAGCCTGCCAAATATCAATAGTAAAAATAGTCAGTATTAATTAACAACACCCAAGATCTTATTATCCAATAAAAAAGCAAAAAGAATATTCCAATAAAGAAAAATTAAAAGCGAGAGAATAGAAATTAAGAAAAGAGAGAGAAGTAAATTATAGAATATTAACCCAACAAAAACACCAAAAGAAAAAAATTTAAGAAAAGTGATAAGAAAATTTAGGCAAAAATTGAGAGGAGCAGACCTGAATTAAAGGGCTTTTTTATCTCAACTCTTAGGGTTTCTATGTGAAGTCCAAATTGAAGAATCACATAAAACAACTCTTTGAAGTTGAGATGATAAAGTTCTTCATTCCTGACAAGAATGTGGATTAAGAAATGAAGCAAATATGCAGAAGCTGATCGGATCAGATGTCTTAGAAGAATATTCCTCTATCAAATATAAGTAAAATGAAATTTCAATAAAAAATCCCAAAAAAACATAGATCCCACACAAGGAACTGTAACGATACTGCCAGTTGTTTTGAGTATTTTACTCACAATCCCCTAATTTATGCTCCCTCTAGGTTATATTGTGGCTACGTGACTTGCGGTGGTGCTTGGTTTCGGCTTCGGGAGAGTTTCAGAGTGAAATGGGAAACATAGTCCCTAAGTTGGAAGTTTAAGTCATAGAAGTTGACCGTAGTTTGACTTGTGTGAAGACGACCCCAGAATGGAGTTTGACGGTC